AAACTGACCTTAAATAAACAGATCGCTACTTCATTTCTCCATTCCTGTCATGAGAAGTTTATTTTTCTCTAATGTAGTTACTCCTCTGTCCCTCTCTCTCTCTCTCACCAGTTTCCATTCCAAGCCACTATGCCTCTCTCAATTTTCCGACGACTCTTGACATGGCGGCCGCTTCTATTCTACGCCGTGGGCGTGGACGGTCCTTCTAACGGCAACAATGGCAGTGGCATCGTTCTCTGCCAAGATTGCATTTGTCTTGGCCGTGTCACCGTCTTCGTCTTTCTCGCCGCCTTGTAATGTGGTCGGGCCCAGGATTCCGGTGGAGATCGTGTGCTTGCCAGTTCACCTGGTGAAGAGGTCTGGTTTGGATGTCATTGTGCCAACCGTTTTTGTTGCTTCGGTTGTGGCCGGGTCTGCATGCATGATTCGAGCCGTGGGCTTGTAGGCTCACCATGATTTGATCCACAGGCATGCTCCTACAATACAAATACAATGTCTTGGGATATCACTAATTAATTATGAAATTACAAATAAGATTGATACTATTCCTACATGACAAAAGTAGTTATCGATAATTATTAAAACAGTGGAACCCAACTTGATATTTTATCATAGGTTGGTGACACTATGTTATATTGATGAGATAATATAACTGTTACAGTTAATATTTTTTTCTTATAAACGCTGCCCTTTGCCATTGTTTTATATTTTTTTAACTAGTGTCCAACCTAGTGCGATAGATTGGTCATCCCTTCTCTTCCTAATTCTTGTTTTTCATCATTTACTCTCTTGCAACTATTATTTTATAAGTTAATAAAAATATTGTATGAATTATTGGATAATAAAATTTGATGTTTAAAAAAATATAAATAAGTGTGGTATTTAAAGCGAGTTTATGGGTACTTGTGTAATTATTTTAGATAGTTATTGGAAGTATTTGATCGGACTTGCAATGGAATTTTTTTATTGAAATATTTGATAAAATACATAAAAAAAAATTAATTATGTAGCTAAATTAGATATTATCTCATATTTATGATACTTAAACTATTAGTATTTTTTCATAACTATAAACATCCAATGGGCTCAATTTCTATTATTTTTCATTCGAGCTACCAAATAGTAAGGATTCTAAATTTTTTTTTCTTGATTTTTTTTTTTTTGGTCTTTCTTGTTTTTATTTTGTGCCTCAATAAGTTTTTTACCAAATTATTTTGATTGTGAATAAAGAGAAAAAACTATATATATTCATTTTTGGGCATTAGAGATAATATTGTATCAATAAAGTTGTCAATGTGTATTAATATCGGAATTTTGAAAAAAAAAAAATATTTTTTTTATATATTATGATAAGCATAACATGACTTTTCAAAAATTTTGTAAAGATACATAGATTTATATGTTTGTTAGAGATTACTGTATTATTTAAATACATAGGGATATAATAGTAATTTAAATATTTAAATATAAAAGATTTGTTAGTCATTATAGTTTTTTATAAAGATAAAATATTGAATCAAAAATTTTTCATATTAAGGTACTTTTATTAATAGTACTAGTAATTACACACGTGTGTTGCACGTCATTTATTTCACGTTAGAATAAAAAAAGTAGATATATCAAGAAACAAAATCATTATAATGGCACACAATGATCTCATTCCCAAGTTGCAATGGTAAAGAATGCATTAACTAGCACAAAATATTTGCTCATTACTTATTGCTCTCAAAAAATGGAGCAACATCTCCACAATTTGTCCATCACATTCAACATGAACACACCCAATCGGAATTTGACCCCATTCTCAAGAATAAGGTCCTCTTACTATATGAGCAGCTGGACTTGTCGGACCAAAAAAATAAGAAAAATAGTTAAAAACTATGAATGTACGTAGAAACTTAGCATTTTGTTGAAAAGTTAATATTCTTATTACATCATTTAGGATAAAAGAAATTAAGAAACAGTACAATAGTAAAATAAACTAAAGCTATGAGAAGACAAGAAAGTGTATGAATTATAATAACACATTGGTAAGATTGAAAGTTAACTAAAATCAAAGTAAAGTTACTTACAATTGCATTGATTAAAATGTGAGGCATGAACCATATTAAGAGTGTCATTGTAGCAACCAAAGGGCAAAATTAACATTCCTTTTGACAATTCAAAAAATCACTTTAGGTGGAACACATGGAGATGTTGCCCAAGCACACACGAAGTAAACAAAAGCTCAACCATCTAGCTACACCAAATATATCTCCTCAAGAAGTCCATTCAACTATGTTAACCATAAGGAGTAGACTGTGGAAAAGAATAAAAGATAAATCAGGAGGTTCTTTAGCTTTAACACTTTGTTTTCCACCCAGTCAAATGAGGCTTTGCTATTTCCTTCCATACAAATGGCCCACAAAAAGCAAAATAGAGCTGTCTCAAATTCTAGTTGAAGTGGAACATATGGGCTACCCATCAGAATTTGCAAACCATCCCTATAACAACCTATGCAACTCAGTAAACTTAATAAAAATTGAATTTTTTTTAGTTTAATTGTATTGTTTCCTTGGAATTCGGACTGGAAATTCCAATTCTTACGACCAAATTAAATATGTCATTAACATTCTAAAGTCACTACCACCAAAAGAATGATAAACCTGAATTCCATAACACATCAAATTGAACTCGAACAATTTAAAAATAAAATCGAACTTCCACATACCTTGGCAAAAATAGAGAAATTGCACAAGCCGATCATACAATAGTTGACGACCAAAGGGTAACTGTTAGAAGAAAAACAAGGATCTTAGTTTGGAAGACACCCAAACTGAGATCAACTCTTGTTGCCGTCAAAAAATTCTACAATAGTGGTGGAAGAAAAATATCATAAATTACAATCCAAAAGTGACAAAATAAGAAGTATGTCAAGATAAAATGATTGAGGTATCTATACCACCACTATAGTTTAGTACCATTTTATTCATTTTTCACATAGAACTCTCCCCCTTTTGGAGCACCAGAAGCTTCGTTCTCTTTATCAAGCAAAAATCATTTGATTAGACAATGTATCAAAAAAGAGAAAAACTTGAATATATTTCATTTACTATCTCCACTTTGATTCACACAAAAACCCCTCTCAGTCTAATATCAATTCCGCTCCCACACCATCAAAGTAAGGCAGAAAATGAAAGAGCAAATGTTTTAAATCAGAAGTTCAATATTCATGCATACAATAATAATAAGAGCACTAATCACATTCTTCCGAATTTCAATCCACACAAACAAATGAAAATTTCACAATAAGATAACACTATCTCCTTATATTAGAAGTCATCGAATTTCTCATAGTCGTCTAAAATCATAGTCATGAAGTTTAGTGGATTCTAAAGCAACTATTTTATTTTGATTTTTCATTTTTGCTTTCTTTTTTCTTAATTGGGTTGGGTGAGTGGTTCTTGGTTACAAAATAAAACATTCACAATATCTAGAATGCTTCCAACATGTCTAGGCAGTGCAAGATTAACATACCAAAAGTAAGTGTGATTGCTTTGTCATGCATATAGTGACTATGATATTTTGCATCCACACGCACAAGAAGTTAGCACTACCGTGGGAAGAGTCACCAGCTTATAGAACAATTGTTGGCATACATGTATTCGATTGTTGGCCTCCAATTGCAAGAGGAATAGAATTAAACTGAAACAAATCAAGCACAATGAAATTTTCACGTTGCCAATTGCACAAAAAACACAAGAATATATTAATACCAATGTTGGATGTTGGGTAAATATTAATATTCGAAACCCTATAATTTTCTTGCCATCTGACCATGCTAGTCTTATGTATGTAGGAAAGGAAGATGATCGAAGAGTTCACCTGAACACAAATCTTGACCTACAATTCACATAAACAAAATTAAGCTAAACGTACTTCCAAAAAAATTTCTAAAAAAAATCCATTTGTAGAATACAGTACACCTTGATGGGTATATGTATCAAATGCCGAATTAGAGATTGAATGATTGAAATAAAGGAATGCACCATATAAAATCTCCCTGATGATTGGTGGAACTTACCATCAAATTCAAAACCAACACAAAACAAATCCATCTGCAATTGATCTTCATTGTAATGGCACCCTAGTCCAAGAAATTTGTGGCCAAATCACCAACACAAATTAATGCATCAGCACTATCAAACCAAGAATTTGATGGTAGGTTTTGCATCAGTTATATCTTCTCTAAATTATGACATTTAGCTGCAACTGCTTTGGTAATAGATTTGCTGGGCCTGAGCTTCAAAGAATTGAAGCAAAATTTTCCTCCTCCATACAAATCATCACTAATTAAACACTAATGAAAAAAACAAATTGCAATGAGCTCTTTTAATTAATAGCTTATGACAGGAGCAAAATTAGTAGAACTTGATTTTCTTCAATGGAATTTTTATTAGGCACGATTGAACATTTTGTTTCAATTATGTTTTTATTTGTTTTCAAACCAAGTGGGAAGTAATATAATATTGAAGAGACTATAGACAGTGAGTAAAGTAATAACCTAACAGTTATTGGAGAGAGGAGACAAAAGTGCGGTAACAATCCAAATATGATGTGATGCTAAAGTTACCTCAATTTCCTGGCTTCCATTTTCACTTTTCTTCACTCATGGTTGTGTGAAATTTGTTTATATAAATGATATGTTGTCTAGAAGATAATTAAAAGGAGAGGAAATGAAACTTATAGAAATAAGCAAACGGTCAATTGGTCCGTAAGATAAAAATCCTAAACATTCAATTTCTCTTTTCTCTTCTATTTTTCATAATTTTCAAAATTAGAAGTGAAAATTGTAGATGTCGATAAAAGATAGAGACCTCTAAAGATCCAGGCTTTTTGTGTGTGTGTGTGTGTGTGTGTGTGTGCCTAAAACCAATGACAAACTCTCTCTAGAGTCGATTGCGAAGCTGTCTTGCTTAGTTAAACAAATTAGAATTGAAGATCAAGTGCGATGAAGTCCTTATCTTCTAATTCTCTCTAGTCATGGGCATCACCCTTTTTTCGATGCACTACTGAGCACCTTCAATAGTTTGTCCTCATCCTTCATCCTTAGGATGCCTAAAATTCTCGGTCGTTACCTTTATTGCACAAAAATGAGGCAAGACAAAATGGAAATACATATTCTACAATGGTTACTGATGAGACATTTTCAGATATTCCAAGATGAAGACACGTGTCCTCGGCATCAGTAAATTCTTGTTACTGTAATCACGACACGTACCTGTCGGATCACGGGTCCCTCTTCCCCCGAGGTACTGTTCATAAGGGTCAATGACACCTAGTACATTACGTACCAACACGTATCCCTCGGTCGGATATGGGGTACATCGGTCTCTACATGTACCACTCCCCTCGGTACCTAGATGTACCTGTCCAGGATGGCGTTCTCTGCTCCTGCAAAG